ACATCAAAATCTTCTACTGGAACTGGATCTGGAACACCTAGACTATTGTTAGCAAAGGCTTCTCCCACATCTGAGTTTTCCAGTACTCCACTATCATTGTTGCTTCCACAGTCTCCAATATTAATGAAGTTGAAAATGTAGTGAGCGTCACAAATGGCCAGTAAAACAATGCTGAAAAAACCTTTGTAATAGGCCTTATTCGTATTCCCGGACTGGTCTGGGACGAGTGTTTTGTTTCGCGCGAAAGCGAGGCTCATGCGGGGGAAAAATACCCTTTGACACAGCTGGAAAAATACGGAGAAAGTCACTTTGGTTCGCAGTATTTGACGGCAAAATCATGGTTAAACATAACTGCTGTGCATATGGCTGCTCCAACAGCACTGAAAAACAAAAAACCATCTGAAATATCCAGAACTCAAAGGAATAACGTTTCACACTTTTCCTATCGGCGACCGAAAAGAAGACTTACGCACCGGAATGAATGAAAACGAGAGAAGAAAAAGGTGGATAGCTGCTTGTCGTTTAAGCAGTTTAAATGTCACAAGACATACAAGAATTTGTTCAGCACACTTCGAAGGTGGTTTAGGACCCTCAAAGCTTAATCCTGTCCCAACAATTTTCAGTTTCCCGACTCATTTGCAGCCCAAAACCCGACGGAAGCGAACAGATCCAGAGGAAAGGAGACGAGGAGCTTTGAGCTGCATACAAAACAAAACCAAGACTGCACCAAGGAGACAAGCAGGTAAAACTGACAAAAAACAAGGAAAACCCGGAACCATTGGGCCTGTCATCACAACTGCAGGAAACTGCGTGCTCGAGCGACATGGATTTTATTTTTTCTGAAGAGTGTGAGATTAAAACTGAACAGACACCTGATCCAAGATCCCTTGCAGACAAGTGTATCCAAACCGACCTTACCTGTGAAGATATCGACTGCATGGAAGCAGCCAAAGCTAAACTGGAAAATAAACCAGAACTGAAGAGAGAAATGTTTATAGACGACGTCCTAAAAAGCAACAAGTCCGTGTGTTTCTACACTGGATTGCCCTCCTATGCCTGTCTTATGATGTTGTTTCCCTTTCTGAAACCATTTGCAAATGCAATGAAATATTGGGACAACAAGAAAAAGGGACAGAGGGAAACGTATCAGGTATCTTAATATTATTACACAGCAGTCTTGTTAATATTTCCTTTTGTTTGTTTTGATGAACATTATGGCATAAAATGTTTACACAGCAGTCTTGTTAATATTTCCTTTCATTTGTTTTGATGAACATTATGGCATAAAATGTTTCATGTTTGGTATAAATAGCAATATAGACCCTATGCAAAAATGGGTACCTTTGAATTTTTTTGTTCGTATTCAAAATAGCCTCACTAACCTCGATCGGGATAACATATTCTTTACAAATTTTGTCTCAAAAACGACGTTAGCGAGGCTTTTTTAAATATGAACAAAATGATAATATATGCATAGGGTCTATAACATGATATATTATGTTATTATGATTTCCAACTATGTGATAATTGCCTAAACATTTTGCTTCAGCAACTCAACTGCACGTTTTTACTTTTATTACAGGAAGATGAACATGTTAACAAGCCGGGACCAAAGAGGCAGATGCCATTATTTTCTGAATTTTTAATGGTTCTTATAAGACTCAGGCTTGGACTGTTACAGAGTCACCTGGCAGACATTTTTGCAATTTCACAAAGTTCAGTTTCCAAGATTTTTACAACTTGGATTAATCTTTTTTTGTATCATGTATTTAAGGAAGTTCTTATAATATGGCCTGCAAAGGTTCAAATTCAAAAGCACATGCCTAAGAGCTTTAGTAGGTATCCTCGGACCCGTGTAATTATTGACTGTACAGAGTTTTTATAGAGAAGTCCACTCAACCTTCAGCTCAGAAAATTACTTGGAGTGATTACAAGTCACATAACACTTTCAAACTCTTGGTTGGTATTTCACCCACTGGAGCCTTCACATTTGTCTCTAAACTTTGGTCTGGTGGGGTCTCTGACCGAAATATAACTCAGAAATCTGGACTGATAGACAAGCTGGAACCTCTAGATGATGTGATGGCTGATAGAGGATTCAATATTAGAGATATGGTCACAAAGAAAAAGGCCACATTAAACATTCCCCCCTTTGCAAAGGGGAAGTCCCTTTCAACAAAGGCATGTACAAAAACCAGGAGAATAGCTGCAGTTCGTGACATGTGGAAAAGAGCAATCCAGCGGCTCAAGTGTTTCCGAATTTTACGTGGTGTGATACCTATCACCCTTGCTGCAGTTGCTGATCAGACTGTGTTTGTATGTGCAGCACTGTGTAACTTAATGAAGCCTCTTGTTTCAAAGTAAATGTCTAAATAATTTTCTTATGTCTGTATAAATCATATGATTTTTGATCGAACTAAAAAAAAACAATGAGCATGTAACCCCTTACAGTAGCTACTAAACTAGGTATAAATGGAATAGTTATGCATTTACATAGGCTCAATGTCACGAAAGGTTCATATTTGGAAGTTGAGTTTCTACATTATATGTATATTTATTTATCTGTACTATATAACACTGTACGGTTCTGACCATATTTAACCTTTGGAAAAGCTAGTTCTGGTAAAATGACCGAGTCAAAAAATGAATCCAGCTTAACTAGCACTGGAGACCAAAACTCTTGATCAAACAACACTTTCTCAACATAAATACCACCATCCCTGCCACAAGCAACAAATATGCCCCAGGGATACGTTGTTGCAAACATTTGTTGATGTAGTTGATAAAAGTATTTATGATTTCTATTAAGGGCTATACCATTGCTTCTTTTTATACAAATATGCTGTTTCAGTAAAATATCTTCAAGGGTTTCCCCTGACTTCACCTGAAGAAATTTCATCTCAACCACACCTGGGCTAGACTCAGACTGATCATATATTATTCTATCTGGAGAGGCACCAATATGTCCATGGGTCTTGCTAATGACAAATCCACACTTTTCGACTTTTATATCAGAATGTCCATTCTGTTTCATGTATTTTATTAGTGCCTGTTCAATTTCATCCTCCTTTGCCAAGCCCTCCTTCATGGCAGCTGTTAAAGGCACTTGGTTGTAACTCAAAACTTCCTTTAAAGCTTTAGTTGGAGATGTGGTTAATTTCAAGCTTGCAATACGTTTACAATGAGAAGCGGTGATTCTTCCTGTTCTGTACTGAAACCAGTCAATGGCATCACTCTGCAGTTTTGTCTTTTTTTCCACTGCATCAATTTCATCATCTGTAAACTGAAGTTTTCTTTTTATTGCCTTGCCCCTTTCTTTAATCTCATCCAGACTGGGTGGCAAAGGTTTCATTGGTGATAAAGAATCTAATGTAAATGTAGTAACAATTGAATTTTCCTCTCTTATGTCATTTACATTTTCTGAATCAAGTTGAGGATGTTGACCATTACATGTGTCTGGGTCAGGTAACAGATGCAGTAATACAGCTGAAGGAACAGTTTCAGCAACAAGCTTTCTAAAATTCTCAGCCAAATTTACATTCGTATCATATGAAGTTCTGGGGTCATAAGTATCACACCTTGGTTTTAGTCGCTTCTTTTTCTCTTTGTTCAGTGTGGGTTTTGTAAAATCCATGGCTGATCCTTTTGTCATGCCCTCATGAGTCCTCTTCCGTTGTTTCCAAGTGCACTTTCTCCCTGTGCAAGTTATTACAACATTTTCTCTCAGTGTAGCTTCAAGGTCAATAAGCGAGGCACCAATGTGCGGCAAGCACCATCAGCCCTGATCAAGAAATTAGGAATTAAGAAAAGTTTCAACAGATATATTGTGATGACCAGAGTCAAAGTTTTGAATACTAGATAAAAGGAAATTATTCTGAAAGCCATAGAGATCACATACACTTGGGCATAGTATAAAGATGTCTTCAACAATTTGGAAACGAAGTACAAAATTTCGCAAAAGCTGCAAATTATTATTTTCATTAACACTTCAACATTGTGTCAGTTGAACAGATCAATCTGGATTTATCATTTAACACATACATAAATCAAATTCATTTTTAAGATGGCCAAATATTAGCCGAGGCAGCAGAATACACACCCTCCTATACAAGGGCAATGCGCTGTGTAAACTGATCCATCTGACTGAATTATTATCCATCCATCGTAAGTTGGTTTCTGTCCGACTTGCGTTTTCTCTCGTTCCGTTGGCTTTACTCCAAATTTAACGTAGTGGTATCCATTGAACAAGTTCTTGTTCTTCATCAATTTTAACACATGGCCATCCCAGAACAGGCGGTAGCCTTCGAACGACTTATATGCCTTGAGAGACTCGTGGTCATAACCCTCCTTATTGATTAAGTAAGCGTACATATCACCGTATCTGAAGTTCGGAAAATCAGAAAAGTCGGAAGTCCAGTCAGAGTGTAACGTGTTAGGACAGGGGAGCGAACCTTCTTTCGTCTGCAACTTGTTGACTATCACATCCTCCGGTTTCTCCCAATCGTCTATCGGTTCCAGTGAAAGATCGCGAGCCTTCTCCACCAATTCTACTAGTTCCTCCTTTCTCTTTTGCGAAACAGTTATTCCACGGCTCTGTAAATACGATTTCAACTCAGGAACTTTCCATTTTTGAACTTCACTCTCTGCCCCTCCTACGAAAGCCATATTGAAATCACAGATTCCCCCGCATGAGCCTCGACATCGTGCACTCGCCCAAGGCTGTCCGAGAATACGAATAAGGCCTATTGTAATATATTGACTGGGCATTCAATGGCAATGTGTTTACCGTCAATGGCGCCGATGCAATGAGGAAAATTCCACAATTGCATGAACTCTTCTGCTATGTCCTCCCAGTCATCAGGCAAACTTGGTGCTCTCAAATACTTCTCATTAAGCACCTGCCAAATAGCACGGCAGGTCTCCTTGATAATACTACTGACTGTTTGTCTACCAACACGATAAGAGAATGACATTGACTGTTGACTATTCACAGATGCTAGGAACCTTAAAATCAGGGCCAGTCTTTCTGCGGCTGAAACTGGCTCCCTTAATTTGGTAGTATGCTTTGGGAAAGAAGGTGATCAAAACTTTCAGGTGACATGCGCATGTATCTGGAAAATAATAATAATAATAATAATGGGAAAGAATAATGGCAGCAGAGTAGAGAGGACGTGTATTGAGCTGTCTCCAACAGATTCAGCGAATTTTGCTCACTCTCGAATAGCAAGCCAAGCTTAGAGCGTTTTTAGCAAACAAACAGTATTTCTGGAGTACTTGTGGTGTATCTTACCTTTAGTCAAGATACGAGAGCGTCTCAAGGCGAGCCTTTTAACTCGATTTGTTAATTTCGTTTATTTGGAATCATGGCCGAGAACCAGTCAATATCAAGAACTCAATGGAGCTCAAGGTCGAATAGTGAACTTCTGGTGGAAAAGGGTGGAGTCACTACATAAAGGGATCGCCGCTAGTTTCCAGGCCACCATGGTAGGAAATGAGGAATACCTGGAATGGTTTACAGGAGGGAAAACATGTTTACTACCGAAGCTGGGTGTGTTCTCTAGAAAGGCCTTTGACAGCGTGAGCCACGAGTGGTTGCTAGAGATGATGTTTCTACACAAATTTCCATCTTGGTTGTGTAATACAATAAAGAGGCTGTGTCAGAGCTGGAACACAAAGATAACAGTTAGAACAAGGCAAGGAATGGAAACATCTGACGTCATCCACTTTAACAAGGGGCTCCCACAGGGTGACGCTCTGTGCCCGAGGCTTTTTACATTGTGTCTCAATCCTGTATCGTGGAAGTTGAAGGCCTCTGAAGGGTACAAACCATCGAGGCCCGTAAACGGGAAAATCACCCATCTTTTGTATATCGATGATATGAAGATCTACATGACATCGGAGAGAAAACTCGACAGAGTCCTTAAGACAACCAAGGCAGATATAGGGTTGGACTTTAATGAGAAGAAGTGCGCTATTGCCCATGTAAAGAGAGGAGTCCTGGATAGCCGCCCTAACAGCACGTATGTCGGAGAGTCTCAGATCATAGAAAGTTTAAAGGAAGGAGAGAACTACAAATTCTCAGGAGTTCTTAAAAATTCCAAGCAGGAGGACACCTTGGTCCTATGGAGCGTGTCGAAACTTTTCCTTCAAAGACTCTCTGTAGTCTGGTTGAGCCCGTTGTTGGATTACCATAAAGTTGTAGCATCAAACCAGTATGCACAAGCAGTACTAATGTACCCCTATGTGGACTCAGAGCTGGCCCATTGCGGAGCTTCAGAAATTAGACTGCGAGAGCTGTAAGATCCTGAAAGAGAACGGCGGCTATCACCCCATGGGAACAACGGATTTACTTTACCTACCCAGAAAGTTCGGAGGAAGAGGTCTCAAGTCAGTAGAGTCAACGTACAAGAATAGAGAGTTTAAGATACCTGGACGGCTGACCTCGAGGACGGCTGACTGGAAGTAAATTTCGCGTGTAGACCACAATGCGCATGCCTGGTCCACGTGGATTGCAGTCCTGTTTGTGTTGAGGACGTGAGAAGTGGTGTTTTGCCGTCCACCAGTCAACGTGAGTACTGTTACTATTATTTCCCCATAAACTTCCGCATGTTTTTAGATTTTCGAACTTCATCAGGTGAACATTGTTTGTCACTTTTTTGTTTTGGGCAATAAAACCACTGACAAGCTGGTTAAAATTGTAAAAGTGATGTGCACTGTGCACAGCCACGGTGGAGCATTTCGACTGAACAGGTGCGTTAAATTTTCTTGCTTTACTAAAAAAAGTCCCTAGTACTTGAACCCGCTTATCCTCTGAATGAAAGATGTCTTATCTTGTCTTAAACTTTAATCTACACGGTCCAAATGCTTTTCCCTTGGTCAGTTAGGAGCAAGAAATCAGAGAAATTGTTTTATCTGCCTTCTCTTTATTTACAGGATTAGCGAGCATGGAATGGAAGGAAGAGCACGATCTCCTTCTCTGCCAGGAAATACTCGTCTGTCAGCCATACAAATTCAAAGAAAGAACGTTCGAAAGAGGCAAAATTTGGGAAGAAATTTCGAATCACCTTAATACCTGTGAGACTGCCAAATTCCGTGTAAACAAGCGATCTGTAAGAGAGTGATTCAAATTGATCAAGGAAAAGTTTAAGCGTAAAATTTGAGAGGAGGAAAATTCGTCGGGGATTGACGTGGAACCCATTTCAGAGTTCGAACAAGCCCTAGAAGAGATTTGCTCTTTCGAAGAATCTTTCCCGGTTGAAGAGAAAGAATCCAAGCAAGCCAAAGAAGAAAAAAACAAGCACAAAGCACAAGAAATTCGAAAAAAAGCGATGGAGAGCTATGGTCAGACCAAATCAAGAATTGCTGGAGATGAAGCTCCCATGGAACCTAAGAAGATAAAGAGAAGAGGAGGCAATGATTCCATTGACTTTCTCAGAGAAAAATCTCAGCTAGAGCTTGAAATCAGGAAGAGAGAGTTAGAGCTTAAAGAAAAAGAGACAGCGCGATCATTTGAGCAGCAAAGGGAGATGACGCAATTGATGCAGCAGCAACAACAAAACATGATGGAGCTACTGTCGAAACTGGTGAACAAGTGACTATACAATGGCTGTAATTGTCTTTCAAAGTAGCTCGGTACAGCTATGTTAATTTGTGTTTATCTATTAAAAATTGGTAAACACTGAGGTTGGACTACTGAGCCTTTCTTGTTATCTCGGCAGCTTTGTTTATTCTATTAAGATTGTGCTTGAATAATATTTGACTGTTAATAAAGTGTTTGATTCCTTTATCTTCGCAAAAAATTGATGAATTATCGAAACGTTGTTTAATTACCTTTAACTGATTTCAGAGCTCAATTTTTGGTCAGCAGTTTGTGGAAAGATGACTTAAAATTGTTCAAGAGAAGTATTCCTCCAGTGTGGGGGGATCCAGCTCGAAAAAACTTAAAGTTGAATTTCCGTAAAGGCAAGTTAACACATTTCTTAACAGGGCACACACGACATACAATTTTCCGATCGAGCTTAGACCTATTTTAAAGTTTTTTTTAAAGTCCATAAACTTGAAATACTCCACAATGTCTCCAAACAACCACTTGACTGACGTACGCACATTTGACATAGAATCATTGAAGGCTTCCATTTGTGCTGTCAGGGCAGCCCCTCTGAACGGTGCCATGAGATTTACCCTTAAAGGATAGGCGAGGTCTCCCTATATGCACATCTGTTGGCCAGTTGGGGATACAGCATTGTGCTCCAAAACGGAAAAGAAAAACAAGAAAAGAGAAATTAGAAAAAGAAAATTAGAGTCGGCCAATGTGGCAGCATCGTGCTTCTTTCCCTCTGAAAAACCAATTGTTCAACCGATAAATTTTTCTAAGCCAAAACTGGTGACTTAAAACCAAAAACAAAAGAGACTGTAGGAGTAACTAGACTTACCTACAGGACCGAACAAATGTCCAATAAGCCCATTAGGAAGAGCACTTGCCCGTTATAAACAAGCCATTGGTGTTCCCCCAGCCTGCAAATCGGGCGGACAGTTCCATCCACAAACCCAAACCAGTTGTTAAGGGCAGCACCCTTGTCAGACACAGCATCAGAGTATTGTTGGATAGCAAATGGATTCAAGATGGAATTATTCCAGGTTGTGATTCTGTGATGATGCAGATCGAAGATATAGTTGAGCACTATGTTCGATACCATACACAAAACAGGAACTGGTTTTGCAAATCTGCTGACCGTGTCACTGTAACGACATGGATATGCGAGGCGACGAAGAAGTATGCAAAGACCCTCTATTCGGTAGCAAACACTGCCTTGTGGACACGTAAAGGTGGGCGGTAATTGAAGAACATCAGCGAGACGTTCGATATCTCCTCTTTCAAACCTAAACTCTGCTTTACATTCGGCTTCACTGATGTTTTCGTCAAACTTAAATTCCTCATACTCGTAGTAAGGCAACTCTAAATTAACTGGTTTATATCTCATAAAGAAACAAACTCTTCATCCGTCAATAGCCCTTCCGCATAAGCAATAACAATCATTTCACGAGTCTTTCTTAAAGATGCCATGATGAACAAAAGGTTGTTGTCCTCAGCTTGAAATCTGCTCCTTAATGTGAAAAGTTTCCCGCCAAGGTAGTCGTCATCGACCCAGTCCCTCGTGCTCAATGTTAACATCCTCGAGGTCAGCCGTCCAGGTATTTTAAACTCTCTAATATCAAGGTGAAGACTGCAATTAAGCTGTATGCAAATGAAGATCCAACTATGCGCATTGTACGAGAGTTCGAGGAAAAGTGCGAAAGAACTGGAAGATGATCTTTGAAGAACGATACCGAGAGATATGCTTCGGAAAGAGGACTGTATCTGAAGTCAAGCTACCTGTGCCCAAATGCTAACACTGACGAAGGAGAAGAGTTACCTGGAGAGAAAGTCGGGGTTATGATGAGGATTAAGGAAGAAGAAAGTAGAACTGAGGAGGTACACCAACAGAAATGGCAAGGAAAGCTGATTGAAGCAAGATGGGATGACGTGGATGTGATTGGCTGTTTCAGTTGGCTATGCCACTGGAAAACTGCGCCCATGCACACAGGGGCTGGAGTTTACGAACTATGCCAACAGCTACTCCCAACTAAGATTTACCAACAGTACAAAACAAAGACAAGCAACAACACAGACATCAAGTGTCCTATGTGCGGAAAAGCTATGGAGAGCGTCCCTCGTGTTTTGAGTGGATGTAGCGCACTAGCGCAGAGCAAGTACCAGACCAGGCACGACGCAGCCCTCAAAGTTCTATTCTTCGATCTGCTCTGTGATATGGGATTAATAGAAAGTGCACCATCTTGATGCTCACCTGAAACACCAAAGCCAGAGTACAAGAATGATCGAGCCAGCACCTTCTGGGATGTGTCAGTGTATGCAGAGAAGACGGAAGTAAGAGCAAATCGGATCGATGCAAGAGTTGTGGATAAGCACAAGAAGAAGGTGGTACTATTAGAAATGAGTTGCCCGTGGATGGCAAACAGGAAACAGAACGAAGAAGAGAAAACCTCGAAGTATGCACTGCTCGGATGGGAGATCCGTCAGCAGTACCCACACTATATTCTATTATCCTCCAACTTTACGTGGGCCGAACATGTGGAACATGTGATATCTAAAGTGAACCAGAGATTAGGTCTTTTGCGTAGAATCAAGCATTTGTTGCCTTATAACGCACGCCTTCTTTATTACAAAAGCCTTGTCCTTCCCATACTTGATTATGCTAATATGGTATGGGGTGATAAGGATAATACTGTCTTAATGAACAATCTGCAGGTGTTGCAAAATAAGGTGGCAAAACTTGTTCTAGATAAACCATTGTACTCTTCTGCAACCGATGCTCTCAATCAGCTCGGCTAGTTAAACTTAAAACAACGCAGGCACTTCCATTGCTGCTTGTATGTTTATAAATGCGTGAGTGGAATTACATCTCACAAATTGGAATTATCTAGAAACAGCGATGTACATAGATACAACACCAACACGATCTCCACTGCAAATGAAGAATTATCATAACTTCTCAAATGACACAAAATGAAGTATAATCATTCAACATTGTGATGGCCGTGAAGCTAGTGGTAGACTGGATATGAGAGATGGATCAAACTAATTTTCGCGGGCCATTTCGGATTTCCTCGGTTCTGTACTTGTTCGCTCTGTTGCCTTCCTTACAGGGAAAATTAGCTTAACATATTTTATTCATGGCGTCTGCTGATTCGGAAGGTGAGAATATTTCTTCTTTTTTTTTCATTTTAGTCTAAGTTATGAATAATTCAGACTTGTGGTCCTTGTGAATATTCATGAGACATGAGTACGTGATGTGGAACAAATTCGGTAAAAAAGAACTTGATAAATATGCATGCTTGTCAGAACTCCTGAGGCAACTACAGAATGCAGGCCTATAGCAAGGGGTACCTTTACTGATGTATCGGTCGACTGACTCTGCTGCTCGGATGTCAAGGTCACTACCGAGCCAAACCAGCCACCTAGGCACTAACACTTTTATACACATTATATCACAAACACTAACTCCGCCTGGCCGCCGAGCCACTTCACTCCCTAATACAATGAGCTAAAGGATTCACTGATATCTATTTCTACAGAAATGACCTCGTATTCTGTAGTTGGCTTTATTTTGTACTTGGAAATCGCTCAGTTTGTTCAGATTTGTTGTACATGGTGTTAAATCTTATGGCGCCATCCTTGTTTCTCATATCTGATTTTTGCAAGTTATAACAACTGTGCTGAGAGCTTTAGATTGTGGTTGATTACTTTGAACAGCTTGAATTATTTAAGTGCAGCTACGACCATCACGTTTGATGCACAAGTGCTTCCTTATGACTTAACAAATTTGTTTTACCAGTTCAGATAACTTAAATGAAGCTAAGTATGTGACCAGAGGCATATAATTATGCTTGTGATGTTACCCAACAAGTGAGAATATAGGCTAGTTCCTAACCTGTGATCATACCCTCTCTCCAAGAAAAATGGCCGCCTGATCGCATGTTAGTGTTTGCCACGATGCCTTCACAAGGGCACAACAAGCTCTTTGAGAATATACCAGAATGAAGTATTTTTTACCATTCACATGCATGGCCACTTTCTGTGTTGTTTTTCTCGAGTACATGGCAGCACTGCTCAAATTTACTGAGCTGCTTTGCAGGCGGTGATCTGAATTATCTAATTGTTTCTGTTATAGGTACAACAAATCAACATAGGAGGCAACTCTTTATCAAAACAATTTTAACATGGCTTAGTCATACGCGAAATAACTTTCAACTTCTTTCTATTTCCCCTTTTGCAGGAAAAACAAAACAAATAATTGCAAACAAAAGCTGGATGATATGCTATCAGGCAATTCTGATAATTTGAGCTTTGTTAGCTTTTTCCCTACATTTTTTTGGCAATAGTTGCGATTTTTTGCACAAACACACATCTCCAGCTCAATCAGCTGACAAAGACTGCACTATCTGGAAATTACCTGAACTTGTCACTCAGTCATATTCAAGACTTTTAGGTTAACTTCTTTACATTGTGAATTTACTACGAATGCTGGCAAGTGTTTGTAAAAAAATAAGAGTGGTAGCATATATAGCTGATTTTATAACTGATTGTATGTGGCTTGTATTAGCTCTCCCCCCCCTCACCTTCCCCTTGATATACATGAGTCAACTCTCTCTAAGACAGACACCTTCGGGACATGCATCAGCTGTCTGTCCTCAAGAGGTGTCCAGCTTATAGATAGTTCAAATGTACAGTAAATGACTGAAAAAAACAAAAACAGCATTCAGGGAGCAACACCAGTTGTCCATCTTATAGAGGTGTCCGTTAAGAGAGAGTTGAACTGTAATTAGCCTCCCCCGATATAAGCCCACTAAAAAACCCTTGAAAATCTGGCTACTGGTTTATAAGTGGCAGTCTAAAGATATGTTGCCAAATTCAACTTTAAAAGTATTTTGAAGTGAATAAACAGTGCAAACACATGTATTTATTTTTCAGAAGTAAACTCTGAAGAGGTGGTCAGGCCAAATAAAAGACCATTCAAGGTAAGAAATGCAGCAAAATCTTTCAAATTTTACATATTTAATCATTTTCTATTAATAAGGTTGCTCCACATTTTAAATGTCACCCACCTTTTTTAGACAGTTGGGTTAATTAGTTTAGACATGCAATTAAATCAGATGGTAATGGACACATGTTTAATCGTGACTGATTAGGTCAGTTAGTATATTTGTGGAGAACATAGTTTTTTTTTTTATGTTTGAGGCTTTTCTGTGATTGAACAACAAAAAAATAGAAATGAATCGACTCACAGAGCCTAAACCATTTTTGTACACGTACACTGTGCCTGTGACAATTATGGTACAAATTTATGTACAGGGTATGTGGACATTTCATGCAGGAGACATCCATCTGAGTGTGAACAATATGCGAGCCAGCAAGGCATGCGAGCCAGAATTGCCTGGTCCTAAAATAAAAGCTAACCATAAGGTACATAAGCCAACTATAGGCTAACGAGAGTAATTTTAAGGCTAACCAGAGTGTTGTTTTAGGCTAACCAAAGGCTAACGTGGGCTAACCACAATGACTTGCATGCAGGTTCGCATTATTCATGACCCGTGAAAGCCATGCTAGTCAGAAATCCCCAACCATAAATAAAGGCTAACCTCAAGCCACCTAAGCTAATTGTAGGCTAACCTAAATACTATTTAGGTTAACCAGACAACTATTTGCCCCAACAAAAGTATTATTAAGGTTAACTGAAATGGCTCACATGCCTTGCTGGCTCGCAATTTGTCAAGACCCTATCCATCTTCAGCAACAACCATGCTCAGGGGTGGATCCAGGGTAGTTTACCTGATTTCCGGAACTCACTCAAATTTTTTCCGACCTAGTTAAATGTTGATAAAAGTACTTTTGGAAAACACTCTAATTTCCCTTTGGAAACTACTGATACTTTTGTGGAAATCACTAAACGAAATAAACCATCTTCCTGTTTTACAGTTATTTATTAAAGAAAATACGTTTAGAATGACTAATTTCGTTATAATTGTGGTCATGAGGCGTTCGGGAGCGCTCCGGATCACGCGCTAGCCTTTCGAGCTTCGATTACACCTCGGAAACCGTCGGAAGCCGTCGGAAGCCGTCGGAAAATGTTCGTGGAGCCAATCTTTACGCAACCGGTGGGCGTAAGTCCTTGTTATTTGGTGACAATAACAGGCGGAACACAGTCAAAACCCCTCACAATTGGCTAGCAAAGATTTCGTCATTGGAACTCACTCAAAACACTCTTCTGATTGGCTAGTTGTGTTTGGAAACTACCTTGGAAACTACTGACAAAGTATAAAAGGGGCAGTTCCTCCCCCAGCGGGTCTCTTTCGTTGCTCCTACAATACAAGTACTTTTGAACTTGCTCAGGGGTTAACGACGGAATAACAATTTACTGTTAAACGTTTAAAAAATACTAGTGTTATGACTCGCGGAGGTGCCTGTTTGTTGGAGGGAGGATTGTTCTCCCTTCGACATTGGCCTAGTTTTTGACGAGATCCACAACTACTCGCCGCATCAGAAGCTGGAGTTCGTCGAAAACGTGTGGAAACCAGGTGAGCTTTTTGATTTCCCCGTGTCAATGGAAAATGGAAAATCTCGTAAGTTTGTCTCGGGCTGGCTGAAAAGATTTCCATGGCTAGCTTACTCCAAATATTTCAATGGAGCAGTTTGTTTAGCTTGTGTTTGTTTTGGAGTTCAGTGTGGGCGAAACGCTAATAAGTTAGACAAATTATTGAAGTCTTCTCTCACAAATTGGACTTCGGCCGCTTCTCACTTAACCAAACACTCGCTAGGAAATTGTGAAATTCACAATTTTTCTATGACTGCTATGAATGATTTCAAGAGAATGATGCAAAGAGGAGCTGTCCCAATTGACCAGCAGTTAAATAACATAGTTCAACAGCAAATCGCGAGAAATCGGGAGATTCTAAAGTCCCTTTTCAAAACTATTATTTTCTGTGGGAAAAACAACATCCCACTCAGGGGGCGGAGAGATGATGATCTCACTAATGCTGCCCTAACCGGTAATTTCCAGGCATTGCTAGAATTCCGGGTAGACAGTGGTGACCAAACACTGCAGCAACACCTGGACACTGCACCCAGAAATGCCACATACATTTCAAAGACCATTCAGAATGAAATGATAGAAACTGTTGGTGCTCACATTTTGAATGATCTATCACAGGAAATAAGAAATAGTAAGTATTTTTCAGTTATGGCAGATGAAGCTGCTGACATTTCAAATAAGGAGAATGTTT